CAGAACAGGCAGACTGACTGAAATACACTGCTGAGAGGTCTGCTACTCCATGTGGGTAGCTCCCTGGCTGGCTGGGGATTGATCTCGTCGTGCAGAGGCTGCGGATAGATTCACAGTACTGTGCTTAACTGCTTGCACCACCAGGGAGGCTCCATTGTTCATTTTTAAACAATATTTGCTTCCCCCCCTTAAAATTGTATTTTATAACTGAGTTTGTATTGAGACAAATATAATCCAGGCTAGATTATATTCTTGTCTGCTGATTTTAAAATATTTTTCAGGGTCCCTAAAAATTTTATGGGCCCTAGGTATAGTGTTTACTGAGTTTGATGAGTCAGTTCAGCCTGACAAGACAGAGGGAGACACTTCCAGTTGGTCTCCGTGGTTCTCCGTGCTAGAGCAGGCCCTGAGACCACACCAAATGTCGGGCTGGATTTGGCCTGCGCGCTGTGATTGGCTGACTCCTGCTTTCTAACACCAAGATGCTAAGAGAATTCCTGATGGCCCTAGGACTCCCAAGAAAAGACAGTCACCCAAAATGACTGGTCACTGCTACAAAGAGGTCATCTGCCAGGTCCTGCAAACTGCACCCTTTCCATTCCCCTCCCCCCCCAGGAAATATTACTCAAGGAAAAGTAGATAAAGTATACGTGGACAACTTAATGAATTATCACAAAGCATATCAAGAAGTAGAACATTGTCAGCATTTTTAAAGGCTCTGTTTGCCTCCCCCAATCCACCCTGCAAATCACACCTTCTGTCCACTTGAAAGAGGCCACTAAATTGATTTCCCAGCCTATAGATCCATCTTACTGGTATGAGTGGAGCATTACCACACAGCATTGCATTCTCTGGTGTCTGGACTCTCTCAGTCCTGGCTGCTGCCAGGATTCTGTTTCTGAAAGGCCCGAAGGTAGTGACTGCACCCAGCATTGTGGGGACTCTTCTGTCATGAGATTGTTCTCTTTTTTTTTTTTTTTTGTTTGTTTGTTTTGTTTTTATTTATTTATTTGTTTGTTTTTTGTTTATACAAGCACTGGGTACAGTCAGAAGCGCGGGAGGGTGAGAGAATTCACCAGAGCCAGAGCGGGGAGCAGAGCAGGCAGAAGGACCGAAGTACACTGCTGGGGGGAGCAGCGGGCGGCAGGAGAGGTCTGCGCGCCATGTAGGACCCTCCTCCGGTGGCCGGGGAGCAGCCGGGGATCGAACCGGCGCCGCAGAGGCCGCGGGCAGCTTCGCAACCCAGCGCTCAACCGCTGCGCCACCGGGGAGGCCCCATGAGATTGTTCTCTTATAAGAACCTGACTGGAGGTGAGGCGGGCCTGTGGGCTGTTCAGCCCACTCACCCAGGGTGCTGTATGGATTAGAGAGATTAAAAGTACTTAGGGGCCTCTCTGGTGGTGCAAGGGGTTAAGTCTTAGCACTATGAAGTCATCAGCAGCCATTGCAGCAAGATTTTGATCCCTGGCCAGGCAGGTGACCCACATGGCACAGACCTCTCCTGTCTTGCCTGCTGCTCCCCTCAGCAGCGTATTTCAGTAGATCTTCCTGTTATGCTCCCCACTCTGTCTCTGGTGAAACCTCTCACCATCCTCCCTCCTCCCCCGACCTCTGTCCTACACCTCAGCTCTTGCATGCATAAATGGATAAAATAAATTTAAAAAGAAAGTACCTGAAAGCTACAGAGTGCCTGGTGGCAGACTCAGATGCCCGACAGGCACATTAACAACTGGGAGAACCAACCTGCCAGTGAAGTTGATTTAGGACCTTACCCCTATTGCTTCTGAGACTCATTAGCCAACATAATAAACAGGCCAAAAAATTTTACAGGGTAGACCTATTCAAATGCTTTGAATGTGAATAAAATCTTTTTTGGGGGGGTAAGATTTTTTTCCCCCTCAAATTTTATTCTTTATTTTTTTTAAGATTTATTTATTATGCATACAAGAGCTGGAGTACAGGCCAGAGGTGTCGGGGGTGGGGTGGGGTGGGGTGAGAGGATTCACCAGAGACAGAGTGGGGAACAGAACAGCCAGATCGACCGAAGTACACTGCTGAGAGGAGCAGCGGGCAAGTCAAGAGAGGTCTGCTGTGCCAGGTGGATTGCTCCCTGGCCGGGGATCGAACTTGTGCTGCAGAGGCTGCAGACAGCTTCACAGGCTGTGTCTTAATCCTTGCGCCACCAGAGAGGCCCCCAACCTCAAATTTTATTAATGAATAAAATCTTTTGATGAAAACTTACCTCAAGTTCAAGATTGTTATGTATCATTGTGAAGCCAGAGCACTCACAATTCCAGGGAGTATCATTTATACAGAATCTGATGGAACTGCAAGCTGCAAGCTGAAATGTTGACAGAAGCAGTAGCCTGAGTCCCGACAACTTTTTAACTAAGCATGCCATTTAAAAATATAGACCTCTATCAGTCATACATGTTTGGGGAAGTGGTTCTTTATATAAGTTAATTGTTTTGGTTAATTCATTAATCAGAAATTCTTTTGTCCCAACAGGCTAAAATGACTGAGTCTGTATTTGATAATTAAGAGGGTCTTATAGGCTCCTTTGGGTACATGGTGGGGAGAATGACATGTAATTGGGAAGTGGGCAATGAATACATTTTGAACATCAATTCTTTTTATCTGAATATGTCCACAAAGGAAATATCTATTTCTCTATATAGCAAAAGTCCAGAATAGGCAAATCCAAACAGACAGAACATCTCTGTCCAGAGACAGAAAGTGGATTAGTGGTTGTTAAAGGTTATGGGTTTCTTTTTGGGATGATGAAAATCATCTAGAATTTGTGATGGCTGCACAACTCTGAAGAGATTTAAAACACCACTGAATCGTACACTGAAAAGGATTAATTTTATGGTATGCAGATTATAAATACTCAAAAAGCCCTTTTTTTTTAAATGAAGAGTCACTAAATCTTTACTGTCCTCAGGACACCCCTGAAACTTTTTTCCCAAGAAGGAACACTTTTGAGCTTTATGCATGGTTTATCTCCACAGCAGAGCTTGGAGACAGTTGTGTTTTGAGTCTTAGGGAAAGTTTATCTGTTCCAAATCACCCTAAGAATCTCCAGCTTATCTATTATCTGTCTCATGTCTTGCTCCAAATAATCCTAGATCTTCTAGAAATCCAATCCAACACTTTTTATATGCTGCTCCTGAGACAAAAAATGCAGGCTTGAGATTATGATTTGAGACATTTCATGATAATCGGTTCCAACTCTTTGACAATAAAAGTGAGGACTCACGACTGTCTGCCTTTGAGAGGGGAAAGTCTTTCAAAAGACTTCAGATCTTTGCTCCTGCTGTACACTCATTCACCCCTCACTCAATCACTGAAAACCCCAAGTAAAGGGGTCCACATATTGGGGGGCAGACCAGAGCCCTCATCCCTAGCCTGCCTTTTCCCTCCTGAGTATGATGAATATGCAGTCAAACTTGGGCCAGGAGAAAGAATTCCTGACTAGAATACAGGGAATTCTTGCTGGGAGATATCAGCCTCCAGAGCTGCAAAGCAGAGGGATGTAACTGAATCGAGGAGAGTATGCTTGGACATCTCCCTTTGTGAAAAGGGGGCATCTGAGTACAACTGCTAACTGACAATTGTTTACAAGGCCTGTTTTCAAATGTTTGTGGAACTAATGCTCAAAATATGCATAGTCGGTATTATATAGGCACGGATCACAGGGGCCCAGGAGGGCAATAGATTCTCTACTCCAAGGGAGATAAAGGTAAAACACGGCCTCTGTGCTTAGATGCAAAGGGACACAACAGGTGGGTTGGGAACCTTTCTTGCCCGCTGTCTGACTTGAGAGCCATCACTGACGAGCACCCGCCATATGCCAGCTTTTGGAGTTTTATGTGTGGAGCTTTATGTGTTAACTCTTCTCCTCTTTACGACAGCTCCTGCCGTTGGTGCAATTATCACCCCCATTTTAATGAGGAGCCTGAGACGACAAGGGGTTATCGTGCCAGGGCTCACACAGCAGGCAAGCAGCAGAGCCAGGAGATGGAGCAGCCAGCGCGGCCTCCTGCTCACCCCGGGGTTTATGCCACTTGGCTAAACTGGAACTGGGGTGGGCTCGGGTCACCCAGCAGCTCCCGCTCTTTCAGCTTTCCTGGGAAAAGGAAAAATTCTTTCATGGAATTGTTCCTTTAGATTTGGCTTCATTGAAAAGCTCAATTGCTGATTACTAACCTCAGCCTCCAAACACTCTCCACCATAGAGAAACAGGGCAGCCACATTCCAGGGTGATAATCCAAGTTATCATTATTAACAGGCTCCATCAGTCCCTTCACCTGTGCAAACTCTTCATCCCTTTGAACCTTGGCCAGAAATTAAAACCATTTTCACATGATACAAATTGGTGGAAATGTCCAGGTCAGAATGGGGACCTATTTCTTCAGAGGCCCCAGGGCCAGAAATCAAAGCTTCCAGTGTGAGCTTGTAGGGTAATCCTATTATGAGAGACTTCTAGATTCCTTAAGTGCACTGTAATGTGGTATCTCTGAAAACATGATTATATAAAAGAAAGGGCTGGGTGTGGTGATGGTATAGGCCTAGGCAACTGCCTTTTGCAGGAACTTTCTCAGTAATTCTACAGGCTGGGCATTCTTCCAGCCTGGCTCTCAGCTTACAGTGGGTGCTCAGCTGAAGCCTGTTCACTTAGTTGTTCTAACAAGACTTAGTTAGCTCTCTGGAGGTATGTGCAAAATCACTCAGGAGCCCTGTTGATGTTGAATGGGAGAAGCCTTGAAGCAGCAATGTGTTCACCAGCCTGTAGCGTGCCTGGGCCACAGAAGCTTCCATGATGCTCCATAGCAGCTGGGCCCAAGGGCCCACCCTGCATCAGGGGGTCATGCAGCTAAAAGCTGCAGGAAAACAAACAAGTTCATCCTCTGCAGGCCTCCTTTAAAAAAGCGATGGCTCCATCTGTAAATGCCACTTTAAAGCCAAGAAAGGAACAAAAGAACACACAGAGTCTAGTAGAAATACTGTATTTGTTTTTTAGGACAGCTGTTTTAAGGCAAGTATCACACATTCAAAACAGTGAGAGATGAACAGTATTTATGACAACACTCAGAAGAGAATGGCGGGGGCGCGGACGTCTTCAGAAATGAGGAAGTGGGGTTTTCCCAGCCACATCCCTCCTGGTCTCACTCCCCATGGACTGGACAACAGGGAGAAAGCCGGCACCTCTTCCCCCGCTCACCGACCGGGTTAGGGGGTCATCCATTGTGGGGACTTGGGTGAGAAGCTCCCTTCTCCAGATCACAGCACCCTCCTTACTGTATTTCCAGTTCCAAGATAGGCAATGCATAGTCCCTGGGTCCTACTGTCCAGCCCTCAACTAAGTTCCACATTTTGTGAAATTCATCCTTATACACAGGAAAATCAGGATGCCAAAGCCACACAACTAAGCAGAGGCTTAGTTCACCTCTGCTCAAACTCAAACTGCTTGAACTGGAGCTAAAAATAATGTACATAAATATATACATATATAAGCATTCATATATACCATATATATGTGGAAAGAAAGATATACTGAATTCTAAAAAGTAGTGAATGGTCATTTGCAGTTTGGAGTCAGACAATGATTGTTTCCTCTTTGAAAATGAAGGGCATGAGCCATGTGCTCTTGCCAGGAGAGACCCTCCAGGACCCTCAGCTCCAGTCCCTGTCACTCCTGGCTTTGTGGGAGATGGAAGTGGCTGAGCTGGGTTAGAAAGGGCTGCAGGGAGCCCAACCTCCCCCTGACCCAGTAGCTCTTCCCACACATTCTGCTCGGGCACACGGAGGGGCTTGACCTGCTCTGTCCTGCCTGCCATTCTCGTTCAGTGGGACACACACTACAATGGGGTGGTCCCCTTCTGCAGGGTCTGGGTGGCAGCAACCTCATGGAGACAGGGGAAAAATGCATGAGTGAGTCTCAAAGCTTAGGAGGCTTTAGTGGCCAGCGGCGGGGCAGTAGAAAATGCCAGGGAACCACAGGAAAGTCAGATATCCGGAAACGCTGTGGAAGGTGGGGTAGTTAATTCATGAAAACCTGAAGGACATCAGGAAGAGGCCGCACGGATGCTGTGGAAAGACTACAAAGAGAACAAGTGGCACGATGGGAGTCGCTAGAGCTCACGGAGAACAAAGCCCTGCTCACAAAAGCTGTCTCCACCAGGGGAACGAGGCCTCTATGACAAGGAATCACTTCGGTAAAAAATATAAGAACATAGCGGTGTCAGCACTTCATATCCAAGAAATGAAAAGGTGGTTTTCTCAGATTCACTCAGTCCGCCTCACCAAATCCCTCTGAGGTAGGTAAGAGGCAGGTGACATCAGTCCCAATTTACAAATGGGGTAAAGTGAGGCCTCAGGACTTGCTGCCTGCAGGTCACCACAGACACACGCCAAAGGCCACAGGGGAAACTGCGGCCATGAGCCTCCTCGGTCGTCCCTGTCAGTGCCACAGCCGTCTTCTCTATAAAGCGCGCTGTTACAGATTCCAAGCGCGCCAGCAGGTATCTGGAGGAAGGTGGCCATCTGGCTTATCATTTTAAACTCTGATTACTGCAGGAAAGGAAAACAGGTCCACGGAAATAGCCAAAGGTCTGGGGACCCAGGTGCCCCACGAGTGGCTTGTGGTTTTTAAATTGTGTTTAGTTTTGCCACCTTTTCTTAAAGGGAGGGTCTAGTTAAAGCGATATCTTGATCAATCAACAAGGGCCCTGACTGTGATGACCACCATATCCCCCTCCCTGGAGAAGGCAGCCCCACTCTGGCCTATTGCCAAGTCAGCATGGATGGGGATCAAGTTGCAGTGTTGCCAGAGGCCTCGGTCACCGGAGCAGAAAGCTTCCCCAGGATGGGGACTAGAAGGGGACTAATTTTGTGTGTCATGTCCCTACTAGGGTGCTTCCCTCCCCGAGCAGGCTGCACTTATCCCTCCTATCTTTGACCTCAGAATTTAAATGTTTACTGAGTGCCACTGACCAAGAACCCGGCATTGCTGACACCATCTGGAGTACATCTAACTTGACAATGTGCAGTGCCAGGTCGATGAACCAGCAGCCAGCCTACTTGAAGCATAAACTCTAAATATCTCGAGTTCTGCCTCAGCGAATTCCAGCTAAGGCTAAGAATTTTGGAATTCTTCCAATTACTTTGGCTCGTGAAACAATGTGACAGATAACTGCAAACCCCAGGTTTGCCGGGAAAGCACCCAATGCAGAGCTGACCCGGTGCAATGAAGAATACACCTGCATTTTTCCAAGCTTTAACCACCAGGTCCTGTGAGCCTGTTATTTCCCAAGCCTTGGCAGTAGGTTCCCAAACAGCCCTGGTGCACACGCAGTTGCACCTGGCATGGGTCAAGCCAAATGTCAGAGTGTCCTTGTTCTCAGTAACCAGTTCCTGCCGGGAAGCCCAATGCCGGTGCCGAGAAGGAGTTCTCAAGGCAGTAACTGGGCCAAAGCATTGCTCAGGAGGCTTAAGTCGGTAAGGCTGTGCCTGGTCTCACAAGGTAGGTGCTCCTAGCAGGCAAGCCTGAAGCCCAGGCCCTTCACAGAACCGACTCCTTGGATTCCAGTTCTGGGACACTGGCTGCAGGCCCGGCGGGGTTCGGGTGTGTCACCAAGGGGGATGTCTCCTCCTCTGACTTGCAGTTGGGGACAGCCTCCACCTTCACCTCGCTCAGCTCCTGCTCCCCTTTCTTCATTGCCTTCTGATTCAGGTGGTGGAGAATGCCGGCCCCCAGGGCATCCCCTTCCACATTCACCACCGTGGTGGTTCGGTCCCTGGTGGGAAACAAAAGGGCAGTGTTTTCCTGATGCTACAGGAGCTACTTCAAAAGGGGTGTACAGTGGTGGGGACAGGCTGAACTGCCTGGGAAGTGGTGACCCTGACCTGCTGCTTCCTAGCAAGTGGGCTGCTGAGGGCCTTAAGGCCTTATGTTACTCTAAACTGATTTTCTCTAAGTAGAGTTTATTTTTATGAAAGTAATAGACCTTCATTGTATGAAATTTGGAATTAAGTATAAAGAAGGTAATGAAAGTCACCTACCCACACTCTGTAAGTGTTAACATTTTGCTTAGTTTCCTTCCATTCACTTTTTTTAAAAATTAATTTATTTATTTATACAAGCACTGGGTACAGTCAGAAGTGCGGGAGGGTGAGAGAATTCACCAAAGCCAGAGCGGGGAACAGAACAGGCAGACTGACGAAATACACCGCTGAGGGGAACAGCAGGTGCAGCAGGAGAGGTCTGCTGCTCCATGTGGGACCCTCGCCGGTGGCCGGGGATTGAACCGGCGCTGCAGAGGCTGCGGGCGGCCTCGCAACCCAGCGCTCAACCGCTGCACCACAGGGGAGGCCCCCAGTCACCTTTCTTTTTAAGATTTATTTATTTATCCATATAAGAGCTGAGGTGCAGGTGAGGGCGGGGGAGGGGTGAAGGAGAGAGGATTCACCAGAGACAGAACGGGGCACAGAACAGGCAGACTGACTAAAGTACACTGCTGAGGGGAGCAGTGGGTGAGACAGGAGAGGTCTGCTGCGCCAAGTGGGTAGCTCCCTAGCCTCAGATGGACTCAGGCCCTAGTCATGATAGCGCTGATACTTAACCCCTAGGCCACCAGGGAGGCCCCCATGTCATCTTTCAAGGCCTGTATTTTATGTGTAATATACACAATCATATAAAATAACGTAAAACTGAGAAGATAATATAGACATGGCTTTGTGTCCATCTTTTCTTCCACTCAACATTACACTCTGAGCGTTTCCCTTCTTCTTCTCCTGAATCTCTAATGAATGTCGATTTGCATATGCTTTTTTGTTAGCCAACACCAGCTTTTGGAAAAATAGCACTGTCCTTCCCAGAGTCTTGTCTTCCCATAGATTAGCCCAAAAATCATTGCTCATTTGAGCTCAGGGGAAGCACTATGTTCATTTTGAAAAGTTTGGGGTCGGGGGCGCTTACCTGAGGGCACTGGAATCAGGGCCTTCTTATCTTCTTGAAACCCCAGACCCCTAACCCATCACTTAGCTTGGGATATATACCCCACATATTGCCTCATTGTTTTTGTAATCTACTTCTTTGTAGACTCCCCACATATATTTACCTAAATTTGTTATCCTTTATGATTGGCCTGGTATTAATTTGATTATTCCACTAATCTGAAAAGAACCTAGAGGCATGGGGGAGGGCTGCTTGTGTGACTTCGGTCTCTGCTGGGAAGGTCACCCTGGGGGCTGCTTCCCTCTTGCGGGCTGAGCACCTCTTATCAGATGGCCGACTTCCCATGTAGGGGAGACACCTGGGCAAGGAGGAAGAGTGGGCTTTGACACTGCTTTGGTTTTGTCCAACATTGGAGAGGCCTCCCTGGTGATGCAAGGGTTAAGTGTCAGCACTATGAAGCTATCCGCAGCCCTACAGCATGAGTTTGATCCCAGGCCAGGGAGTTGATCCACATGGCACAGCAGACCTCTCCTATCTCGTCCACTGCTCCCCTCAGCAGTGTATTTCAGCCAATCCACCTGTTCTGCTCCCCACTCTGTCTCAGGTGAATCCTCTCAACCCCTTAGCCTACACCCCCAGCTCTTGTATGCACAAATAAATCAATCTTTAAAAAATAATAATAAAGGTTGGAAACCACCATTCCAAGCCAGTGGGAGAGTCAGAAGGCCAGGCCAGGCTCCAGTGCTTAGGTCATCTCATACCTCTGACTACCTGGTAGGAGTAATTTTTTTCATAAGTATCGACTAAATGCTTTCCCATGTGCTTGTAGTTCTTTTATGTGCTGTGTATGTGATAACTGATTTCATCTCCACTACAGCTCTGGTCCATGTTCTATTATTATTCTCACTGGACAGATGCACAGATATAAGCACAGCACAGTTCATATCACACATCTGGTAAGTGGCAGGATTTGGATCCAGGCATCTTGATTTCTTATCCACATGCTCTGTTGTCCCAACATGAGTACCTTGGCTGATCTTCCCTCTAAAACAGGTGTTGTTTATACCTAAAAAAAGTATCATGTGACTCAAGAAATAAACACCAGGAAGCGTGGAGCTGGTGATCTGGATCACACCTCTTTCCCAGCTTTTCACCTGGCCCCTGCCCAAGACATCACACTAGCTGGGGTTATCTCTCCTTTTGCAGAAACCACCTTTTGGATATTTCCAAGCAAGGAAATCATTCCTGAAGGCTCACTGCTCCAACGGCTTTACTCCTATGCAGTCAACAATCTCCACAGACCCTTGTGTGCTCCCACTCCACTCCCACCTTCCGCCCCTTAAGCCTGTACCGGGGGCCCGGTCTGGGTCTTGGGCCTGATTTCTGATGCTATAAGCAAGTTTTTGGTCATCGTTATTCATGTTTGTTCATGGGTCTTTGACTCTGATAGGGTTTAATTTTCCTTCCTCTAAATCTTGTCTTGCCAACTTGACTCTAGAATCCTTCACAAGGCAGGGGACATACTTTACATTTCCCCGCATGCCCCAGACATAGCAAAGCTCCTAGGAGACTCTATAGACCTTTTTTTCAGTGACAATAGGACTTGCTACTTACACAATCCAGTCCACGGCCAAGATCAGAGAAAGGTCATGTGTGGGCAGCCCAATGGCCTCCAGGATAATGGCGATGGTGAGGACCCCTCCAGAGGGCACTCCGGCTGCTCCAACACTGGATGCTGTGGCTGTCACTCTAGGAAGTGGCAAAGCAGGTCAACCATCAGACAGAGCATGGAGTGGGCACACAGACATGCAAAATATGGCAGCCATGGTGTGCTAATGAAAAGCCACATAACCCTAGATTCTGCCAGCTGATTTGTCCTCTCCAAGCAATGAACTCAGGCCATTCTTATTTTCAACCAAGTCAAGGTAAAATTGGTTTTCAGGAGATGTTTCAAAGTAAATCACAAGAAAAGCCTGAAGTTTGAATGTAGACCTAGAGATAAAAGAAGGAATACAGAACTTACAGAATTGTGAAGATCTGCCCTGCGTTCAGCTCCACGTTGTTGAGCTGAGCGATGAACACTGCGGCCACACACTGGAAAATGGCCGCTCCATCCATGTTCACGGTGGCCCCAATGGGAAGAATGAACCTGCTGATCCTCTTGTCTACACCATTGTTTTCTTCAATGCACTTCATCATCGAGGGAAGAGTTGCTGAGCTAGAAATGGAAATCAGCAGCCAGACAGGCTGACACATTTCTCAGAATGCTCTACGGCCAGTCCACCCTCATATGGCCCATCTCATCCGATACCACTCAGATCAGACTCGGACAGTTTTCAGCAGGATCCTACCTTCTGACTTTCTCTTCTTGAAATAAGAAAAAAAATCAGAATTTTTTCGAAGTTTCTGTCACAACATAGGGTTTTGCCAACTCCTAAAGTATTCAAAATGTGACTCCCCAGATAGACCTGCTTTTGTCAATTCCAAATATCTTCATAGTGCCTCTTGGTGCATAATGTTCTCAAGAGAGGGCCTCCCTGGAGGTGCAGCGGGTTGAGCGCAGCGCTGTGAAGCTGTCCGCAGTTTCTGCAGCACGGGTTTGATTCCCAGCCGGCCAGGGAGATTCCACATGGCATAGCAGACCTCTCCTGTCTTGCCTGCTGCTCCTCTCAGCAGTCTTTTCGGTCTGTCTGCCTGTTCTGCTCCCTACTCTATCTCTGGTGAATCCTCTCACCCTCCCAAGCCTCTGGCCAGTACCCCAGCTATTGCATAAATAAAAAATAAATCTTAAAAAAAAAAAAAAACAACATTGTAATTAAAAAAAATGTTCTTAAGAGAACAAAGATCTGTTTACTCTGTGTGTATCTCTTCACTCTTTTTAAAAATTTATTATTTTTTAATTTTTGCTAGAAGATCTGGGATGTAGGCCAGAGGTGGGAGAGGGGAGTGGGGGAGGGTGAGAGGATTCACCAGAGACAGAGTGGGAAGCAGAACAGGCAGATGTACTTAAATACATTGCTGAGGGGAACAGTGGGTGAGTCAGGAGAGGCCTGCTGCGCCATATGTGGGTTAGCTCCTTGGCTGGGGATCGAACTCAGGCTACAGTGGTGATAGCACTGAGACTTAACCCCTAGGCCACCAGGGAGGCCCCTGCATCTCTCTTCTCTTGAATATTTCCCCCCCACAAAGTAAAAAGCAAACTACAATTTTTAAAATTTAGGCATGGTTTAATTTAATTAAACCATGAGAGTGCAGGGCACTCATCTGGGAGGGTGGTGATGCTGGGGCTGGGAAACACAGGCCCTTCCTGACATAGAATTCAGTGGGCTTCTTCATCTCTCCGTAGGATGACCCCGAGGAATGAGAGGATGGGAGAATGCCAGGTCCAAGAAGCAGAAGTGGCTCTGAGAGCTTGAAAAAGTAAATGTGAACACAGACACCTGCATGAGCAGGGCATGCTCACTCTAGCTGGCTCTGCAGAAGGTGGCTGGCACAGTTAGAAGTAGGTTTGTTTCCATCTATGCCAGAGAAACTTCCCTGATTCTCTTTAGCACCACTACCTTGTCCAAATAATCATTCAGGATGAGAGGAAACATGCAGTGGAGACATAAAAACTAAACATGTGAATGAAACAATATACTGTCATCCTTTGAAAGTTTTCTAGCAAATAATTGGAAAGCCATGATTTTTGAAGGAATGCCAATGAGTGACCAGGCGCATCTTTTGTGCTAAATTACATAATCCTATTATACTCTGGATGCCTACAGAGCTGAGCACAAATCCCTCATCACAGTGCCTTGCTCTTATTTTCTAATTCACACATCCAAAAGAATTGGGCAGGAATCATTCTAGAAACTTCCTGAAATGCATTTTTACTGAGGTGACTACCGTTTTTTACTTAAGCAATGTTTTTACTAATTCTGGTGAGGACCCACAGGTAGACCAATCAAAGGTGTCACTGACCTCTAAGAAGTAAGAAGAAAAAGGAAATGAGGCAACCTCAATAGATCCAGGGATGAAATAGAAGGCCACCCTACAAATTCACATTTGTAAGAGCTGTGGAGGTGGTAGTATAAAAAAATGAGGTGAGTGTTCTAGATTTAGTGTTCTAGAAATAAAATATGCCAAGATGCAGGCTGTGCTCTACCATTACACTCACTTGGTTCTATATTAATGGGGTTCAGAGCAGTGCAGGGTGCCCGAAACCTACTCACCTGGAACAGGTGGCAAACGCTGTTGCAAACGGTGTGAGAAGACCCAGGAGGAACCTGAATGGGTTTTTTCGTGTGAACACAAAATAAATAAGAGGCAGCACAATTCCTCCATGAATGAAATGGCCCAATATAGATGCGAAGATATATTTCCCCAGGCTGGTCACCAGCACGATGATGTCCTTCATTTCCACAATCTTGCTTCCAACGAGGAACATGATGCCCACAGGCACGTACCTAGGGCACAAGCGCAGGGCACTCATCAGGAAGGGGGGTTATGCTAGGGCTGGAAGACACAGGCCCTTCCTGACACAGAACTCTGGGACCTTCAATGTGGTGGCCTTCATCTCTGGTTAGGATGATCCCGAGGAATAAGAGGAGGTGGTAAATCAGGCCCATTTTACAGGTTGTGAAACTGAGTAAAAAGAATGGGATCACCCACTGTGGACAGTGGGATCAGTACTAGAACCCAGACCTTCCCCCCAGAATAGATTCCCTTCACAACAGATGAATGCCACCACCCATGACCGCTGCCAGGTGGAAAGCCAAGGGACTTCTCAAGATCAGAGCCTCTGGGACTCGAGTTTGACTTTCAGCTTTGCTCAGGCTTATCCTGAGAACTTAGAAACACAAAAGGCTAAACACCCACTTCTCACAACTGCTGTGATACAGAACTGAGCCAAAGCTGGAACTTCTGTGAAGTTTTAAATTCTTTGTGGTTTGGAAAACATGATTCCGTGGGAAAAAGTCATTAACAATGGCACTCTGGGAACACTTCTGGAGCGTGAAGATTTTTTTAATGGCAGAATGGGAAGTAGGAAGGGAAGGTATGAACTGTGGGATCTACAAAGAACTAAAGTCTATTGCTTTGAATTTAATGTAAATTGAGGAAGGGTGTAAAAAGTTATGACTTCATTTGTAAAATTTAATTATAGAGATAATAATGTCACATAACTCAAATTTCAAAGGTGAATAGTATAAAGCCTCCCAAGCTCTGGTTTCCTTCCATGCAGACAGTTAATGTCACTGGTTTGAATTTTCTTTCCAGAGATGATCTAAGCAGTATTATTAAATTAAAATCCCATAGTAATACATGGATACAACCTCCTCTCAAAAATGGAAACATTATCTATTAGGACAAAATTCCCCTTAGGCACCATCCTCAAGCCAGACCCTGCCTCAGATAACCACTGATACTTCCTACGCCCACAGGTACAGAGGCTCGCATGTAAATCTGGGCTTATTTTTAACATGATGTTGTGTCTTTGAGATTTTCTTATCAATACATAGAAATATACCTTGTTATGTTTTTTTCCCCTGTGATATAACATGCATCACATAAAATTTACCATTTTGACCATTTTTAAGTGTACAGTTTAGTGGCATTAAGCACATTCACGGTTGTGCAGGTATCTCCACCATCGTCTGCAGAACTTGCCCTCATCTCATACTGAAACTGTGCTCAAACAATCACCTCTTTCTCTCCCCCCACACCGCCCCAGCTCCTGGGGTCCATGGTTCTCCCTTCTGTCTCTATGGATTTGACTGCTGTTGCCTGCTTATCAGTGGAATATACAACACCTGTCCCTTTGTGTCTGGCTTGTCTCACTGAGTGTGATGTCTGCACGTCATCCATGCAGTGGCAGCAGGTATCAGATTTCATCCTTCTTCAAGCTGAGTGATAATCCACTATATGTGTGCACCACATTTGGTTTGTCCTTTCCTTTTTTGATGAACATAAGTTATTTCCATCTTTATCTCATGCTTTCTAAATATCATCCTCAGAACAAAGCACTGGAAGTTAATTTGCCACTGGACTTTTGATGGGGCCTTAAATCATTTCCAGGTTTTCATCATTGGAAACGCTGCAAATTGGCTCTCTGTGGCCCTGGCCTGCGCTCTCTAGGTAGAGGCACCGAGGAGTTACGGGTGTGCATAAGTGAAACTTTAGTAGATGCCAAGAATTGTTGCTAAAGTAGCTATTCCAATTTGCATTTCACCTGCATTCTAGGAGAATAAGCCTTTCTCTGTTCTAGTGGTACTTAACCAGGGATGATTTTACCTTTGGCAAGGTCTAGAGATATTTTTTTGTTTTTTATTTATTTACTTATTCATTCATTCATTTTAAAGATTTATTTATTTATGTATACAAGAACTGGGGTACAGGCCAGAGGTGCGGGGGGGTGAGAGGATTCACCAGAGACAGAGTGGGGAACAGAGCAGGCAGATTGACTAAAACACACTGCTAAAGGGTCAGTGGGCAAGATTGGAGAGGCCTGCTGCACCATGTGGGTAGTTCCCTGGCTGGGTATCGGCTGCGGATAGCTTCACAGTGCTGTGCTTAACCCCTTGTGCCACCAGGGAGGCCCATTTCTGGTTTAAATTTAAATTAAATCTAACTTAAATAAATATGTCCTCTTTTTTTTTGGGGGGGGGTTCATTGGCATCTAGTGGTGGGAGGCCAGGGATGACAGCTCCCACAACAAAGAGTGATCCAGCCAAAATGTCAATACTGCTAGAGAAACTCACCCTCACCTGTCAATGTCTGATAAAACTGGGCTTGTCATTTTCCTGATTCTAATAAGCTGGGCATTCCTTAAAATGCTTACTGGTCTTGTGGCTTTCCTCTTCTATGAAATGCCTGCTCACATATATGTCTGTTTTCTAATACTCAGTCTCTTTTCTTTTTCAGTAATCACAACTCTCTACACTAGTGTTTCTCAAATGGTCTTAGGTAGAAGACCAATTTATTTCTCTTTAGTTGATTATGGACCAATATTCTTCTAAAAGACAATAAAAAATAATATATAAGAAAAATGCTCAGTTCACAATGAGGTGCTTGGCTCATGCAACAATATCAAATGGGGAAAAAAAGGTTTTAAATACTCATTCTCAATTTTCCTATAAATCTTGTTGCTTGAACTGTTTGTGAACTGGTACTAGTCCTTTGGATCCTGATGCTTCCAGATTGTTCGTGTGTGTACCCACATATACTAACTATATGTAAATATATATTAATTTTTTCAATAAGTGTATTATCTTTTGACTTTGTTCAAGGCACATTTTGCATAAAAACATTTTATAATATATTGGTATAGTCAAACTAAGCATCTTTCTATGCCTTTTACTTTTGTATTTTGCTTAGGAAGATTTTCCCTAATCCTATATTTTCTTCTAAAACTTTTAGAGGACTCCCTTCTGTTTCTTCCTTTCTCCCTAGATAGTTTAATGCATGGGTTGTGACCATGGGTTTTACTGGAATATACCGTCACTCATTCATTTTCAGGTTGTCTATGGCTGCTTTTGTCCTTTGATGACAGAGGTGGGTGGTTGCAATAGACACCACTCATAAAATTTATGAGGGATTAGTACCACCTGTATTTAATCCATCAAGAAGTCATTTTTGTGTTTAGTAGAGGGTAGATAGGTGCTTTGATCTTAGTGTAGGAAATCAGAAGGAAAAAAAGCAGGAAGAACTACTCTGAAGATTCCTTACTACGCTTCATGGATTTCCTTTAACCAGAAGGCATTTTAAACCCTAGTACTGTGTGAGAAGCACTTTCTGGACCACATTTCCCCCATTGTACTTAGACACTCAGTAGGTGTGCCTTACCGAACACCTGTCTGTGCATAATAAGTACATAAAGTTGAAGAAGTGACTGCAAATTGGTTTTCAGATTGAAATAAATGTTCTAACACAGGAACATCACTTTCTTGCACACAGTGTTTCCTGTAATCTAAACTTCAAGAGGGATTTAGACTGAGAAAAAAAAAAAAAAAAAAACCCAGGAAAAGAACTTGACATGTGGTGGAAACACTTCTTCATGAAAATATTTCTCTCCCCAGAACAACAACAGTCAAATGAAGTGTCATGTTTGCGAAGACAAAGTCAGACTCTGCAATTCTTGGTTGAGCAAGAAAATTTTTTTGAATAAGATAAACCCTTCCAGTGGAGGCTCTGAACTTAGCCTCCCACTTAATTTCAAACTTTCCTCCCAAGTCCCAGGTTATTTGCCCAGCTGCCATGCCAATGCCATCTAAGAGAGAGAAGTTCTGGGAGACCTAAGGGTTCACAATGAGGAAAATACTTTGCGCATGAGAGGATAAACTAGTTTCTCAACAACAAATGTGTGGAAGCTAAGACCCACAAGGTTTGGCATGAGTAAAACAAAAGGGTAAAACTTTGTGAGGGATTAGCACTGAAATTGGTTTTATTTCTGAAAAGTTACTTTGAGGGATCTGGTCAAATTTTTACCTTTTAGCAGGAAATCAATCTAATAGTTTATATTTTAACAATTACCCCTTCATTGATATTACAAAGAAAGCTTTATGTGTAAAGGAAAAAAAAAAAACCCTTCCAAATTTATATATGCATTGGGTGAAGATGGATTTGATCTCCTGTTATGAACTACTCTATAGTAAGTGGCCTGTTTGGAGCTTGAAGTCTATCATTTTTTTTTAAAGATTTATTTATTCATGCATACAAGAACTGGGGTACAGGCCAGATACATGGGAGGGTGAGAGGATTCACCAGAGACAGAGTGGGGACAGAACAGGCAGACTGATGAAATACACTGCTGAGGAGAGCAGCGGGGGTGACAAGAGAGATCTGCCGTGCCATGTGGGATTCTCGCCGGCCGGCTGGGATGGAACCAGCGCTGCAGAGGCTGCGGACAGCTTCACAGCACTGCACTCAACTGCCTGCGCCACCAGGGGAGGCCCCTGAAGTCTATCATTTTAAGATAACTTAGTCTTATTTATGCAGCAAATAGTAATCTGATGGTAATACACTGCCCCCAAGATGACATAATGTATGGGATGATGGGCAGAACCTGTAAATATATCAATGGTAACAGGACCAGAGGGGTCACTTTAGGCACCAAGGGAGGTGATTATGGTCTGTGCCTGATTCTCTGAGGTGCTGAAATCAGGAGAAACTGTCTCCACCTCTACTATTCCTGTACTTGACTGGCCGAGGAGTGTCAACCACATAAAAAGCACTGGGCCAGGTGGTGACACAGAAGGGCACACTTTTTGAATGGCAGGAGCAGCAAGAAGGGAGCAGGCAATGAGGACACTCACCACATAATCCAGGACACTAGCACCATCGTCGCCTCATTGAGGCCATTGAAGAAGCGGATGAGCTCTTCTCCTTCAGAGCCCAGTTTCTTTAGGGCCACTCCCAACACCAAGGCAAAAAGAACCAATCCTAAAATGTTCATTCCTTCAATCTCAGTTCCAAAAGGGATCTGCAGGATCAGAGAGCACAGAGGGTCTAGGTTTACAACAGATGAGTCAGAACACAGATGCATTTCTGCCTCCACCAGACCGAAACACCCCTAGGGTGGGAAATGGTTCCTATTTTGTTTAACCCTCAGTGATTTCACAAAGGGTAGGAAGCCAAAGGGGAGATGAAGTTCACAAACATGGAAATCAACAAACAAGAATTCATCTAATTGTTCACTCTAAAAGCTGTTCAAAACTGGCACAGATTGAAGCATGAAGCAGTGAGCTCCCTGTCCTTGGATATATTCAAGCAGACGTTGAACAATCTCTTCAAAGGGCTGCTTTTAAAAGAAGAGCTAGTTGGTGAAAATTTCCTTTAGATAGAGTTGATGATTATATTGTACTGTGCTTCCTAAACGTGAAAAAGTTTTTTGTGGCTAGGTAACATCCTAGCTGACTAATTTCTCAAAAGATTTTCAGGATCAACATGGATATTTTCGGGATGTTTTTTCTTAAATCACTGGTTTAAACTGTATAGATAGACTATATCCTTTATTTTTTCTGGCAATGCTAAATCTCACTGCTGCAAGCATGCATTAGAGAGAATCTTTGTCCATCAAAACACATTATGAAATTCTGAGTGGGAAAATATGTTAGTATGGTAAAAACATATTTTTACTGTACAAATGAGCTCAAGTCCCAGCTCTGATATTAAATAACTGCTCTGAGCTTCAGGTTATTCATCCTTAGGATGAAGTGAATTTGACTAAATTAGTAGCTTTCTATTTTTTTTAAAATAGCACTTTTCTTTAAACAAAGAAAGGTTAGTAGAACTCAGAGTCCCTCAGCCCTGGGGATCGAGCGGCATAAATGTGTGTGCGGAGGAAGGGAGACACACCTCCTTCTTCCCGTGACAGTTCTGCAGCTGGAATGAACAGGCTGTGAGGTCCCTCATTCCACCCCCAGCTCTATCACAAAGGCTGGAACCCAGCCCAGGGCACAATAGGAATTGGGGAAAAAAAAAAAATGTGTGACAAAATGAATGCTGTGGTGAGGAAAGTTCCTAAAACAAGTCCTATGTGGTGGAGTCTGTGAAGTCATCTATTAGTTATATTTTCAGATAGCAGAAGGGGTGTGATAATCTATTTTTGAAGAAAGGAGACTTTAGTTCCCAACTGGTTAAACAAATCTGCTGAAGATTCCAGCGCTACAGATGCTAGCATTTGGCTATGTTGGTAAATAATCAAGGGAGCAGTCCTAACCTATGGGCTTCAAACCCCAAAGATTTCAACCCTGCTGAGAAAAAAACTAGAAACACTGCTGACTTTGTAAGTATTTTTCACAAGTGATCTTATAAAAACCTTTACCTTTTCGTGGGTTATGTTTCCAGAGCTCGTGTTGTAGGTTTCCTCTTTATAATCCGTTGCGTACTGTGAACAAGAGAAAGAAAAAGCCACAGTTAGTTTTCAGGTGAAGACCAAGATGCTGAGAGGACTTCTGGGCCTCTGGCTGCTCTGTCATCATTCCCTGTAGATGTCCTGGTCTCTTTTCACTGGACTGGCCTGACAAGACACTCTGAGGACTGTATAAAAGTTACATTAAGTCCCAGGCAGCATACATTCCCAGAAGCCTCTGGATTATTTAGAGAATTTCCTTGCGTCCCTTGAGCAATGGTTTGGAGGTCTGCACAATTTCCTGCTGAGATTTTGCTATTTAAAACAGCTGAAAGTTCTTATTACTTGGAGAACCTTGGTATAAATTCCATAAATACTAAAGTTCACTTTTTAGTGTGTCATTTTACTTTCATTTTTCTCCTACCTCATATAAGCCACAGCTGTGCTTATCTGCTGATTTTTCAAAAAACGAGAGAAGTTGTAAGTAAAAACAGAAAAGTCTGCTTGAAAAGCCAATCAGATTAATCCACGTAATCCAAATATTTCAATTCCTTCTCTGTGTAAAGCATGGCCATAAGGATATTACTGGTAGCATTCCTAAAATTAAGGGGAAACCAGAACAATGTGGATGTCCATCAGCAACTGACTGATAGAGTTAGGGTGCACTCACACAATGCGATACAGCCAAATGTTATGCAGAAGGGTATTTACCATCACAAGAAAATGTTTACAACACACTGTCTTCAAAAAGAGCAAGGTATACGACATTCTGTGTAGTGAGTGTACATCCTACCAATATGTGTGGCACAATTACATCACATGCATGTGCACTGTGCATAGAAAAAACATCTGAAGGATGCAGACCAAATATCAGTGGGTAGCTCCAGGCAGTGATTACAGATAATTTTTAATTTTTTTCCATTTTATGTATTATAATGTTTCTGCAATGAGCATGTATTACCTTTACAATCAGAAAAAAAAGGAGAGATAAATGTATTTTTAAAAAATTCTGAAATATTTAAGAGATCACTAAAATATGATTTGGGGCTATTCTCAGATGATATGAAAAGGTGGTTAAAACCAGTGGGATCAGAGGGCTATTTTAGAAAATATTTTTATGGGGTTTTTTGTTTGCTTGTTTGTTTTGATCCTATAAAGATTTAGACCAATGTTACCAATTTTGTTAACAAACTCTCCTTCTTTGTTTCACCTTATCTAACTCTGTAGCAGTTATTTGTACACCGCCCCCACCAACACCCCTCACCAAAGTCTCATTATTTTAGCAAAGCTCATCTTACCGTGCGGAAAGCTGCGACTACCAGATTGGAGGGAAACAGGTTTCTGTTGGAAAAGAAAGCATTTCATCAGCATTCTTAAAATTCAGTATTCAAAGTGTCCGCTCTAAGATGCCATCTGACAACCCAACACAGTGTTCCCTCCCTCCATCCCCAGAAGTTTCTGCCAATTTCAGCTTGATCCAAGCACCCAGCTGCTGGACCACAACAGGTATTTTGGGTGCACTGGACTTTTATCCTCATCTCCCTATGTCATGCTTTGATGTTTAGACTTAATTTTGTCCAACTCACCCATCACTTTCCTTTCCCTTAGAGGTTAAGCCCCACCCAGCGCTTTTCATGGGACAGTAGTGCTGCCCACTAGTAGAATCTAAGGGAGTATTTTTGTTGTCACAATCGGGGCGTTTCTGGAATTAGGAGAGTATGTGTAAGAAGAGCCAGGTCCCAGCCATTCGTGTTGCTGAAAGTGGCAAAGTCCTGTACAGTAAACTGTCTCAGGGCCTGCATGCTTCATACCTGCAGATGAAAACATTATTTGTAATTACCAAAGCCTAGACTAACTCCAAAATGATGTATTTTTTGCATGATTTGTACACTGAATTTTCCAGGAATGCAATTCCTGTAAAATGTGGGATGATTTTTGGTCTATTTCATTCATAATGTTTCCAAGAATTGTTCATTCTGGGAAATCATATCACCAATGGCAAACGGTGGGACCTTAATTTCACACAGCAGTATCAAGCGTCAGCCTGTATTACAGCTGTCTATTGATGGTAAATCTAAATTCATAAGTAAGTGCCTAGCCAGCTTGTTTTAGGGCAGTTACAGACTGAAGTACACTATTATTGTAAATTATTCTCCTTTTGTCTTTTGTATTACATTTATGTAATATTGATATCTTGAAATTATGTGAGCAGGTAAATTCTATTTATGGATTTCATCTCAGGGTGAAGGATATTATAAAATATTTGTTATAAAAGGAAAACAATAAAGCTGATTAAGTTAAGCTAAGTTTTGAAACCAAAATCTATTCATGCGATCAGTTTTTATTGAGGGTCATCTTTGGGTCAAACTGTGCAGGATGCTGCTCTTGATATGTAAGAAATTTCCACTGACAATCTATTTGTTCTACCCACTTTCTATAAGAAGAATAAATCTAGAAGAGTAAAAAAAACTCTGGATTACCCTCTACAATTTGTGCCAAATTTATTCACTATTTCTTGCTTCCGTGGTTGAGTCGGTCGCCTAGCATTAGAATCACCCAGCAACTATTTGCACTGTATTCAGTCTCAGAGGCTGGCACATCTAACTGCAGACCAACTTGGCAGGCAGAGCCTACAATGGCTTCCTGCCTACCAAGAGACCATCTTTGTGTAATACTCTCCCCTTGAGGGGGTGGAACCTATAACTTCCTTTCTAGATGGTAAAACACAGCAAAAGTGATGGGCTATCTCTTCTATGATTTGTTACATAAAGTTGTGGCTTCCATTTTGCTAGGAGACTCTACTGAGTCTGGGCTTGTGGGTTAGATGAAACAAGCTGCCATGTTGGAAAGGGTCAGATATGGCAAGAAACTGAGGGGGCCTCTGGCCAACAGCCAATTGGGAACTGAGACTCCCAGTCTAAACTTCGGGGAATTGAATTCTACTACCTACCAAGTGACCTAAGAAGTGAATCCATCCCCAGTTCCACCTTTGGATAGGACCCCAGGTGTAGCCCACACCTAGACTGCAGCCTTGCCAGGGACTCTTGGGACAGAACATCTAGCAAAGCCAAACTAGGATTCCTGACCCATAGATACTATGAGATAATAAATGTGTGTGACTTTTGCTGCTAGACTGGTGGTAATTTGTTCTACAACAACTGATAACTAATACTGCAGTCAACAGGGTTAATGAGATGCAAAAGTGATTTCATTGGACTACTTTGGGTGCTTCCACAAGACAGCCAGCATATAGAAATGGTAACACAGCATTTTCCAAACTTACTTGTCTATGAAATCTGAATTTCTTTTAACAAACCGAGAGAATATCAGCATTTACATGCCTGCATGTCAGCAGACAAAATGTAGAATTAACAATTACAACTTCAGTTGAATTAACCATTGCAAAATGGTGATCAAAAATTTGATTCCTGTCACAAACACATTTAGTTAAAAAAAAAAAAGTAGAAACAGACTAGCAGTTTGTATGGGCAGTTCTTTAGCATAAATGAACGGTGACTTACATTTGCCTATTATTTCCATTACAAAGCACCTTTCTTACATATTTCAGTCTCTCAGGGTAGTCCATTTCCATTTACTATACTAGTTAGAAGCAGAAATAGGCCCTGAGCCCAGATTTCCCTGTGCTACATGTAGCATGTGCCAACTCTCAGTAGCTCCCAGACTGAACTGGCCACTGACTTCTTTCCCTAAGAAGTTAGGGAAGTTAGGGAAAGAGCTGGGTTTGAAGCCCTCCAACTTCCCGTGGGAGCAATTTGCCCTGCAAATACCTCACATCCTTCAGGCTTAGTGGTTTCCTTTGTTGGTTCAAGCACAGCCTTGAAAGGAGCTCTCTTCCAAAGAGCACCTGTTATTTATTTAAATCCTTCAATTTGGCCTGCCTCGTCTCTTTAATATGAGCAGTAATCCAGTACGGTCTCACCCAGGATGGACCCTGACCCTAACCCTAACTAGACCAAACATTATCTAGTCTGCAAAATTCACTGGGAACAGTGGGTAGGTACAGACAATACTTGAGGCAAAATGGCAACTTCTACCCCCCCAAAAAAAAAATCGTTTCTCAGAAGAATGCAATGTGTTCTGGCAGTTTCTTATAAAGTTAAAAACAGACACTTACTATGTGAACCAACTCCACTCCTAGATCTTTATCCAAGTGAAATAAAAATATATGATTGTAAAAAATGACGTGTATACATAACAGAATTATTCAGTGACCCAAAACTCAAATTCAAATGGATAAACAGCTTCTGATAAATCTACACAATGGAATCCTGTCTGGCAGTGAAAAGGAACCAACCACTACACATCACAGATCTTTTCAACAACACTGTACTAAGCAAAAGAAGTCAAAGCAAAACACATGCTGAATGATTCCAGCGATAGCACACTCTAGAAAAAGCAAAACTAATTCATAGTGATAGGAGGCAAAACTTTCTATCCAAAGCTGCCTGGGGCCAGGGGTGGAAGATGGGGATTGGCAAGAAAGGTTACCAGAAATATTTCATCTAAATTGTGTGATAGTTACATGAGTTATTGTTTGTAAATTACCTCAAGATTATTATAAAGGTTAAAAAAGGATACAACAGGGCCTCCCTGGTGGTGCAAGGGGTTAAGCACTGCACTATGAAGCAATCTGCAGCCCCTGCAGCACGAGTTCGATCCCCGGCTGGCCAGAGAGAAACCCACATAGTGCAGCAGACCTCTCCTGTCTCGCTCGCTGCTCCCCTCTGCAGTGTATTTCAGTCAGTCTGCCTATTCTGTTCCCCACTCTGTCTCTGGTGAATTCTCTCAACCCCTCTTCCCCCCGCATCTCTGCCCTGTACCCCAGCTCTTGTATGCATAAATAAATAAACCTTAAAAAAAAAAAAAAAGGATACAACACTAACTACAAAGATTTTACCACAAAAAACATGGTGCTGAAGCTCAGGCACCCACAGAAAACATACTCCTTTCTCTTGGATCCTCTGATTGCCAAAGACCAGGGGCAATGCAGACCCCTCCAGCTCATACCGAGAGGCAAGATGAGGCTGCAGTACCAAGGCAGAATGTTTCTCTGCACTCTTCATGGACCGTGCCTGGAAAGTCATGGCCATAACCAAGGTCGTGTAGGTTTTCTCTTATATTATCTTCTGGGAGATTTATAGCTGTGTATTTTAGGCCTGTGATCCATTCTCAGTTAATTTTTGTGAAGACTGGTCTTGTCTAGATTCATATTTTTGCATGTGATTGTCCAGCTGTTCCAGTACCATTTGTTGAAAAGATTATCATTGTTCCATTGTATTGTCTTTGCTGTTTGTCAAAGATCATTGACTATATTCCCCAGGGTCTATTTCTAGGCTTTCTCCCCTCCATTAATCTGTCATTCTTCTCCCAATACCACACCATCTTGATTACTGGAGCTTTATAACAGTTTTACAGTTGGGTATGGTCAGTCCTCCGACTTTGTGTTTTTTGCTCTCTGCACTCTTACCCCTCTCTATAAACAAATATGGCTTTTAAATGCAGATGCTGCAGTGAACTCTGGCTTCTTCTCACTCCTGAGCTCTCCTGTATGCAGGGATCAGTTGCTCAGCATACAAGCTTTGGCCCCAGAGCCCTGTCTTCAGGCACTTTTCTCAACTCTGTCATATTCATGCAGCAACTTTATAGGCTTCAAAATGAGGAACCTTTGAATTGGAAGGAAATTTAAAAGTGATCGAGTTCAACCCTATCATTTAGTACATGGGGACACCAGGGCTACATCTTGCATGCAAGCTCCATCCAGCACTGTCCAGTAGAACTTTCTATATCAGTGCTGTCCAATATGGTAGTCATGAACACTGGAAATATCAGTAGTGCTACTGAGAAGCTGAACTTTTAATTTAATTTTTTTAAAGATTTAATTTACTTATGCATACAAGAGCTGGGGTACAGACCAGAGGTGCGGGGTGGGGGGTGGGGGGGCGGTAAGAGGATTCACCAGACAAGAGTGGGGAACAGAACAGGCAGACTGACCGAAATACACTGCTGAGGGGAGCAGCGAGCAAGACAGGAGAGGTCTGCTGCACCATATAGGTTGCTCCCTGGCTGGCCAGGTATCGAACCTGTGCTGCAGAGGCTGTGGTTTTCTTCATAGTGCAGTACTTAACCCCCTGTGCCACCAGGGAGGCCCCCGAACTTTTAATTTTATTTATATTAAATTAATTAAACTAAATAGGTGCTGGACGAGTGTCAGTGCAGATATACAGTTTTGAGATGCAGAGTCTGGAAATCAGTAGGAGCAAATGGCTTTCTTGTGCTCTCCTCTGCATAGCACTCACTGGGGAGTTAGGGTATTTCTCAAA